CTATAGATAAATCTCACGAGCTTGCCAAGTACGTCTCCCACCCTGCAACAAAGGAAAAGTAGCAACCTGGTGAGTTAACTTGCAAGTCAAATAAATTATTTTTTGAAGAGGCATAAATTCATGTTTATAATATATACATAGGTATTCTAAAAACAAAATGTCACGCAAGAAAAGTGAAATTTGGCTGCATTTTTCAGAGGAGAAGGAAAGCAGCGTACAATGTCGCTACTGTGACAAAAAACTTGCAGTGGGAAACAAGTCGACGTTTAACCTTATACGGCACATGAATGCAAAACATCCAACGCAAGTTATACACAGGCAGGAGGCGCCAGGAGAACCAACTCCGAACAATACCTCAGGTAGTGAAGTACGCAATGTACAAGGAACGCAAACATCGTCAGTCTCAGCTGTTGCTCCACCATGTCCATCAGTTTTACAATTTTTAAATAAGCCTCTTACAATAAAAAAGCAAGCTGAAATCTATGCCCAAGTTGTTGCCATGATAGTAAGGGAATACCATCCGTTTAGTGTAGTGGAAGATGCCGAATTTAAAAAGCTAGTGAATTTATTAAATCCTAGCTATAAGCTCCCAACAAGGAAAACAATATCTTCCTCTCTTATTCCTGCAATCTATAGGGAAACATTGGAAAAAGTTAAGCAGCGTTTAACTAGAGCATATGCCGTCTGTCTAACAATGGATGGATGGACTTCCCGGGCACAGGACGGCTTCATAAGTGTACCAGCACATTACATTGCTGAAGAAAACAATCGGTTGTGCCTGGCGTCGGATTTGCTCACCTGCACGTACTATTCAGAGCGGCATACGGGTGATAATATTACTAATAAACTTAGAGAGATATTGGGCGAATGGGATTTAAGTAATAAAGTGACAGCGATAGTAACGGATAACGCAGCCAACATGAAGGCAGCGGTTCGTGGAGGAGGGTGGCGTCATTGGGGTTGTTTTGCCCATACCTTAAACTTAGTCGCACAATCAGGTTTGAAAGAGATTCAGATTAGCTTAGATAAGGACAAAGCAATAGTGAGACTTTTTAGAAAAAGTTCATATGCAAAGTCGCAATTGAATGTCACCACTTCGCGAATGCAGCTACCTATTTCAAAGTTGATCAACGACGTTCCCACATGCTGGAATTCGACGTATGAAATGCTGAAACGAATTATGCTCATAAAAGAAGCCGTAATTGCGACAGTAGCGGTAGTAAAATCTTCAGCGTTGGTAAGAGATGAGGGACTTTGCAATATTGACCTTTTAAGCAATGAGGAATGGTTAGTGGTAGAGGAAACCATAAAAATAATGGAAATATTTGATATTATTACCAAAGCAATAAGCGGAGAGAAATATGTTAGTGTTTCTACAATAATTTTATATGTTAAGCAGTTAGAAAAACATTTAAATTCTTTCAAGTTTGACCAGTTGACGCCGCCTGGACAAAAATTAGTGAAAAAGCTACTCAGGGAATTAAATGAGCGTTTCAAAGAATAAGAGAAAAATGAGCTTATAGCGCAGGCGACTATTTTGGACCCTCGGTTTAAGAAATTTGGGTTTATCAGCGAAGTTTTCTACAAAGCAGCGGTTGAAAAGCTTTATTCTAAGGTTTCGAATATTCATCTCCAAAGTGATTCCAATACAAACAACAATGAAGAGCAAGTTCAGCAGAGTCCTTTGGAAAACGCAAGCGTAGATTTACTTTGGAAAGACTTCGATGCCGAGGTTCGCATGCATACCTGTCCAAGAAATCAGTTCACTTCCGCGGTTTTGGAAGTTGACAAATATTTAGGCGAACCTATTTTATCCAGAAAAACCCTCCAAGGTAAAAATAATGATCCATTATTCTGGTGGTGCCAAAGAAAGCATATATATCCGAGGTTGTTTCAAATAGTAAAAACCCGTCTATGTATTTCGGCCACTTCAGTTCCTTGTGAACGTATCTTTTCCCACGCAGGGCAAATCGTTAGCGAAAGGAGGGAAAGGCTAGATACTAGCAAAATTTCACAAGTGGTTTTTCTGAACTATAATTTAGGGCACGATGACTCTTAGACTATAAGCAATTAAGTAGATCAAAGTTTTGTATTATTGTAGAATTACACTAGAGGCCAGATAATTAGAAACAATTTGTCTTACCAAGTTTTGAAAAATATTTTTTTTTTATTAGTTTTAATTAATTTTTTTTTTACGAAAATATAGTTCATTGTACAACGAAAACCATTTAACTGAAAGTTTCAAACCTTGCAAATTATTTGTAAAAATTCACCAAGCTAAAAAAATTATCATCAAAATTTCAAACTCTTTAATCGAAATTTAATTGAAATTTTTTTGTTGACGGTGTTACGCATTTTTTAAACTTTGTTAATTTTTAGAAATCTTATACAAGGTTTGAAACTTTCAGTAGTATGGTTTTCATTGTACCATGAACTATATTTACTAAAAAATTAATTAAAACTAATATTGAAAAAATTGTCAAAACTTGTTAAGATAAATTGTTTTTAATTATCTGCTCGTAAGTGTATAAGACTCCTAAGTGTTTTCGTTGAAAGCCATTTGCACTCGTTTTAAAAACGTTTATGTAAAATCAGTCATATTTTGGTATTGTTGTAGTATTGTATGTCCTAAGTGTTGTCGTCGAAAGTCAT